AAAAGTAAATCAGAGACATATTTATAGTAATTATGCAGGCAAATTTGCCTGCAAATCTCTACCAATTAAGGGATACAGCTACATCAAAAAAGTAAATCCTAGTGGCTTTAATGCATCAAAAAATGTAACTTTTGTATCACCAAGCATAAACACTAAATGTCAATCGCTACGCTCTGGCCAATTACTCGCTTGATCCTGCTACTCCTCATCCCGAAATAAACTCTAATTATAACTACTTGTGAAGATGCACGTTGGAAGTCTAGACTTCCTTATTTTGAAAGCACTGAAAAGTAGAGTTTGATTAATTTCTTAAGCTGGAGTATAGTGTTCGCAAGTAATTTCGGGAGTAAACAAGATAAACATCTTTTATATAAAATTTGTCTAGAGAAACTTAGTCTCAAACTGCAACTGCTAAAGTCTCTTAGTAGTGAGCTCGTAGAAAAGCTGGCCTTGGTTTGTATTAATTCATTTGAGGTTTGGATTTTTTTTTTTGTTTTTTTTTGTTTTTTTTTTTGTTTGTTTTGAGATTTTATAGCAAAGGCTAGGATAAGTCCGAAACTTCTCTGGATAAGTCTGGGAGAATGCATTTTGTTGTAATCTCTTTATTAATTGCCGAAAGTGCTATAATGTATCTGAATTCCTGAGAGATGAGTCTTTTGGGTGCACTTTTACCTTTGAATGAGTCTTGGTATTACGGCAATCTGTTCTTTTTTTCTACATTTATAGAAGGATATAAAATCGCCCGAAGTCAAGATGTTATGGGACAATAGTACTACTGTTACGGAAGCGTTAAAAAAAGCATCAGTTGTAAATGCAAAACATATGATTCACCAAGTGTTAGGCCTGCAGAATGATTTTAGCGAAGCACTTTCTAACACTACGCAGGATACTCTACAACCTTGTAATACATCAAGCTCATCTTTCATTATATTTTGTATTATATATTTTAATTTTTTCTCTTGGTGTGAACTATTAGTCTTGAAACGGAAATCGAATAAAAAAGAAATGATCATAGATGCTGGCAATAATCTGTTTTATGTGTCTGAGCATGGAAAGGGTTCGAAGAATGCAACTAATCAGAACAAGGAAAGTGAGGTATAGTATCGGACTATTTCTAGTAGTCAAAATTAGATATATTCAAGATTGTTCTAATGCTTTGTGTCGCGGTGTTTCTTAATGCCCCATGTACTTGTAGTGGTACCCATGTGACTGGTGATCGGGTATGTGATCGAATATTGTGATCGGGGATATGCATGATCCCGATGTCTAAAAATAGAATTGCATAAACAATGTAGTAATAG